TTTTTTTTCATATCATATATGAAATTTAAACTATTTCTCTTAAATAGTAAAGTGGAACCAAAAATAATTTAAAAATTAAGTTAAATTATAAAATATCTCTATACTTCAATTTTGTTCTTTATATAAAAAAATTAATGATTTAATTCTTATGTAAGTAAATACTTTTAGATTATTCTTTATTGTTTAAAAACATACCAACGACGTTAGATGCAAGGAACTAGAACATAAAAGATAATATTTGTAGAAGAACTTAATCATAAATTTAATTATATAAACTAATTTGTAAATAAATATCAAATATAAAAGCTAAATATGTATTTTGACAAAAAAAAAATTTGTGCACTTATAAGAAAAAATATAAGATACTGAATAAAAAAATCACAAAATTTTATAAAATTAAAAATATATATTTTTAAATAAACTTATATTTAGTGTAGTTTTATATCTTAAAAATACTAAATTTTTTACATAAAAAATTTATTTTCAAATAAATTGATGTACGATAAAAATATTAGCATTAATATTTTATTTATCTATTTGAAAGTAAGATTAAAAAATAAAATATAAATAAGAAAATGATAATTTTAACTCTTAAAATTAAGTTTAACTAACTAATTATAATAAAATTTTATTGAAAGGTGAAACATTTATTTACACAACTTTAATATAATGAATACATTCTTTCTCATCTTATTATTAGATGCTTAAATTCAATTATAAAAATCAAATTTAACAAAATTCTATAAAATAAATATTTTTTTTATTAATCATAAATTAAATTAAATAGACAAAATTAACAAAACTCAATTTTAGAGCTCAAATTAACATTAATGTTTTTATTATAATTTTTATTGTATTTTAAAGAATATTTGACAAATATTTTAAAAAAAAAAGATTTATCATCCTTAAAAATGGGTATAAGTTTTTAGTCTTATAATTTTGTGATTTTTTTTTATATTTTGTATCTCATATTTTTTCTAAATAAATCTATAATATTTTTTATTTAAATATCTATTTGGTCCATACAGTTAATATTTACGTACAAATTAGCTTTTATAATTAAAATTTTATTTTTGATTATCTCCATCTAAGACCGTAAAACCACATTTTTAAATCACAAAAATTAATTAAAAATAATTATTGATATAACGATTAAATATAACTTTGTAATGTAGAAGAAATTAAAAAAATGTGTTAAGTAAAAATAATAAATTTATTTAAAAATACTTTTTATAATCATAACATCATTTAAAATATTATTTATAATATGCATCGAAAACCTTCTTTAAAAAAATACAAATTTATTGAATAAATTTTATCAAGCCTTTACGTTTTTAACCCCAAATTTTTAATTAAAAAATGATATGTAAATATCTATTGAAGTTCAATATCATATCTTTAATAATAAAAACAAGTCGTCATCATTCTTTTTTTATATTTGTACACTTTAAAGGAGATGTTACTTTATTTTATGAATGTGTTTTCAAGAGCTTTTTTCTCTTATTGAGGTAATTTAAAAAGTAAATTATCGATGTAAGGTTTCTTTAAAACAAATTCCCTATTTGGGGTTAGTAGCATCAAAATTGTTTAAAAAAGGAACAACACAGTTAATGACGTGGCATGCTACAAGAGTGCCGTTCCATCTACACTAATGAGATGGTGACACATGTCCCACCAGAAGAGGGTCCGAAATCTTCAGAAAAAATCAGACTGTACGTGTGCACAATTTTCCTTGTTTTTAAATATTATTGATATTAATTTGTGTATTTGTAACAATTAAAATTTTAGATAAATTTTATTATAAATTATATAATATAATTTATATTGTTTAGAAATAGTTTGTTTAAAAATATATTAAATTAAAAAATAGCAATTAAATGATATTTATTAATTACTAAATAATAAGATAAATTTTTATTGAAATAAATTGATAAATTAAGAGGAAAGAAAATTATATATAATTTTATGGTTTAGAAAAAAAATAAAAAATATGGTAATGAAAAAAAAATATGAAATGCAATGAAAATAATAAATAATTAATGTAGGATAAATAATAAATTTTATATGTTGATGGTAGATTAAGATAAAAAAAATATTTGTGAAAAAAATATTAGATGTAGTAAAAATAATATTTACTTTTTGAAAAAGATTAAATAATTTTTTTTATTAAAATTATTGCTAAAAAACAACATATACAGTTATATAATAGAATAGATAAAAAAAAGTATAATAATAATAAACAGATTTAAAGTATTATATTCATTAAAAAATTAATTATAAAATATAAGAATCCTTACTTCAAATTTATTTAAAACATTATATATTGAAAATAAACTTTGTAATTTAAGAAACATAATTATTATTGAATAAGAATAATAAAATTAAAAAAAATAATGAATTTATTGTCTAATATTAAAAATTACATAAATAAATTAAGGGTGATAAAATTATATATTTATTTTAAAAAGTTATTAATTTTAATGTAATTGCAAAATTTGAAAAAAAAATAATATAAAAAGGTGTGATATTCACACTACCAAAATCGTCTCAACTATAGACGTTAATAGTTTCTGGTGGAACACGTGTCACCTGTTATGCTAGTGATTTATTATTGAGTAATCTATAATATACTTATTCAATGTTAATTGAATGATTATTTGGTACTGGAATAGATTTAGATGAAGTTTGAAATTATTTATAAAAAAAAAAAAGTGAACAGTACCGTATGAACAGTGTCGGATGAACAGTAAAACCGCCTATGAACAGTGAAAAACGCGTATGTACAGTGACTGCTGACGTCATCAGTGACATCATCATGACGTCATGGCTGACGTCACATACGCGTACAGTGCGTGTACAGTACGCGTGCACAGTATTTTTCGGCGTGAATAGTGTCCTGAACAGTGTTTCCAGCGTGAACAGTGTTTCCGGCGATGAACAGTAAATTCCGGCGGTGAACATTAAATTTCAAAAATTTTCTATAAAAAGGGGGTTTCACATGAAATTTTCATTTCTTCACCCCTATCCAAGGTTCTCAAAGGTTCTAAGGCCAAATACCACCATTTCTCTCATATTAAACCTTCCTAAACTTAGATTTCTTGTCAGATCTGAGATTCTACGTCTATTCTGAAGGATTTGAAGTAAGTTTCTTTAAGTTTGAAGCTAGATTTACCGTTCGTTTCTCTTCTCCTTCTCTTTCTCATAGAAGTTCATGGTGTTCTTAGGAGAAACTTCGTTCTAAAGCTGAATCTTCGGTGAATCTTGCATTAAAACAAGTAATATTCAGTAGATCTAGTGTAAATCATCTTTCTGAGGTAAGGGGAGTTTACTTTAACCTATGAACTATGTTTTGAATGGTTTAATATGCTATTTCAAGATGTTTTGATATGATTTTATTAGATCTATTGAATAAAAGTTATTTTCTAAGCTGTAACTGCTGTTAATTGATTTAAAATGCTGAGATTTTGGCTGATCTATTATAAACTTGCCTTAGTTGAGCTGTTAAAATAATTTTGGCGGTGTGCATCATGCTGAGATATGTGTTTTGCATCATTATAGAGCCGAGTTACATGTTTAGGTGGGTAGACGTGTAACGGTAAGTTCATGTTGAGCTGCTGTGCTGTGCTGTCTGGATCCAGATACCGGAATGGGTCGTTCCCGGACCGGCTCGGTTCCTTTTGGATTACTTAGGCTGTGAAACCAGTTGGAAACCGTTTTCATGCTGTGCATTAGATGGGCTGGAAATGCATGAGATTATTGCTGTGAGAAATATTTTGCTCTATATATATGATTTTATTTTAAGTTTGGTAAGCTCACCCTTGCATTTCTTTCTATGTCGTTGTGTGTGTACTGCGATGATCGTACGGTAGTAATTGAGCAGATGTAGCAGGTGTTGCATCTACTTCACAGGCTGAGGGGCCAGTGAAGAAATGTTAGAAGCTGGGGTCGAGTAATATTACATGAAAGTCCTTTTTCTCTTATATTTTGAGACCTCATGTAGAGGGAACTATTTAGTATAATTTTAGGTATTTTGAATATTATGAACTAAATGTAATATTATGTTGTTCTGTTGGATATTTGTTGTAAGAAACTTTGTTTTATTTTAATTGAGAAGAGAATTTCATACTTATATTCTCTATTATTTATTTATCTTAAATAAGTATGTAATGTACAAACAATGTTCTCGGTTCCTTACAAAAAGGGGGTCGTGACATCACCATCTCGTTAATGTCAGCTAAAGAGATGGGTGATGATGTCGTCTCTTTTCTGTACGACTTTAATGTCACGTAGCTCACATCATTTGTGTCGGCTATTAATAGAACAATACTCTGATAGTTTGTCATGTTATCACTTGTGTCGTTTCCTTTTTAGACAATTTTGATGACATATAAATCACCAACGATTTTATAGCTTGTCATGTTATCACTTATGTTGTCTCTTTTTTAGACAATTTTGATGACATATAGATCACCGACGATAATTTATTTTAAAGAAATTCTATATATCTCTTTTTTAGATGATTTTGATGCACATAGATCACCAACAAGAATTTATTTTAAAGAAATCTTATATCAATAAATTTTTTTTAAATGACCCCAATAAGTGAAAAAAAGCCGTTTTTAAGAGTACGTGTATATAATAAAAAAAAGTACATATAAATTATATATAGTATTAATTTTTAGCTTCAAATATCGAGCTAAATGGTTAGCTTCTAGAAAGTCAGATACGAAAGTTTGGTGGGAACTTATGGCAAGACGCACAAGAAGAGAAAGTTAGGTAGCATTGTGACTGTCCCATTAAACAACTAAAAAATACGGAGAAGGAGCTATCACTCTTGGCGTCACCCTATATAACACGACCTCATCTTCCATTCTCACACCAGCCCCTCAAACTTGCACTCTATATATAGAAATACACAACAAAGCGCACACATCATACGGAGACATACATACACATACATTGCCACATCAAAATTAACAATCATATATCAAACAAATACAATGGCACCCGTGAAAACTCTTACTTACCTCTCACAGGAGAAGACTCTAGAATCTAGTTTCGTTCGGGACGAAGACGAGCGTCCCAAAGTGGCCTACAACGAATTCAGCAACGACATTCCCGTTATTTCTCTGGCTGGAATCGACGAGGTTGATGGACGCAGATCAGAGATTTGCCAGAAGATCGTAGAGGCTTGCGAGGATTGGGGTATATTTCAGGTGGTTGATCACGGTGTTGATGATCAACTTATAGCTCAAATGACTCGTCTAGCTAAAGAGTTCTTCGCTTTGCCACCTGAAGAGAAGCTTCGCTTTGACATGTCTGGTGGTAAAAAGGGTGGCTTCATTGTCTCCAGCCATCTCCAAGTAACTATTCTCATTACGCCGTCACCTTTGAATTTTGCAGGAAAGAAAATGACCAGGAGAGAAAATAAATATAAAATGAAAAAAAAAACTAAATAAAAGAACTTTTTTTATTTTTTAATTAAAAATGTCATTATTCGTAATTTTTTCTCTTCTCTATATTCTTTTCTCTTGACAAATAATCTGTCATGTTTGTATTGCTTTTTTTACATGGATAACTTATGGCCGGAGTAGATGTTTCATGTTTGTATTGTAGCATTCTTAATCAAAGTGACTTAAAAGATATAAATTGAATTTTATTTACAAATAATATAAATCAAAACTCTTATTTAGCATGATTCAAATGTTTAAATAATTTGCAAACTCTTATTTACAAATTGTAGTCACATCATTAGACTGTTTTTAGTTGAATTTATTATATAAAGTAATCATTTATTTTATAATTAATTTGTGAAAATTATAAAAATACATAGACAACGAGGGTCTAAGATGTGGGTGTGGTTTGGTGAACTTGGGACTTTTTTACAGGGGGAATCGGTGAAGGATTGGAGAGAGCTTGTGACATACTTCTCATACCCAATAAGAGAGAGGGACTATTCAAGGTGGCCAGACACACCTGAAGGGTGGAGAAAGGTGACTGAGGAATACAGCGAGAAGGTGATGGGTTTGGCATGCAAGCTTTTGGAGGTGTTATCGGAAGCAATGGGGTTAGAGAAGAAGGCTCTAACCGAAGCATGCGTCGATATGGACCAGAAAGTTGTGATCAATTACTACCCAAAATGCCCCCAACCTGATCTCACGCTTGGGCTTAAGCGTCACACTGATCCTGGCACCATCACTTTGCTTCTTCAAGACCAAGTGGGTGGCCTTCAGGCAACAAAGGATGATGGTAAGACATGGATAACTGTTCAGCCTGTGGAGGGCGCTTTCGTTGTCAATCTTGGAGACCATGGTCATGTGAGTATATATGCAAATTTTAATGCTTCAATTTTATGTGTCCCACATAGTTATGATTATAGGTTCAATTTATACAACTAGACTCCCAATTTCGCCTTCTCAATTTTTCCTTTTTGTTATTGCATGCCAAATGCTAATCAATTATAATACATAAAGAAAAGACAAATATATACATGACGATGCATGTATTTTTTAAGCGCTATATTAGAAGATATTCTCTTAACAAATACACTTCAATATTTTAGTTTTAATTAACATATAATGAATGTTATAAGTCTATAATTATTTCGTCGGAATCATTATATTATGCATGCTAATAATTTAATCAGAAATTTTTATATTATTTAATACTCGTTTTCTTTGGCATACTTGTCATCACAAATTTTTAAAACGTAAAAAATAATGACGATCAGTGCATGAATGATATCTTTTAATTGTTTGTTAAAATCATTATATTCAAATGTGAAGGATGTCAAAATTTCTCTCTAATTGATTATTCAATTCTTAAAGTATGATTTACGCACTTTTTAATTATAATGTTTTTAGAAAGACACTAGATGATATATAGTTTATCGGTTCACACTTTTGGCCGTATATTTTTTTTGTGTTTCATAATTGGTTCAATTTTTTGTCATATTTTTTTTCACCTGGAGAGGGACATTTAAAAGTGTCCTTTCGAATTTGAAATTGTATATTTGGAATACGTGAACGTAAAAGGTGAAAAGAAAGTTGCATATAATTAATATTGTTTTTGAATAATTTAAAAACGGAATTGATTTTGAATGCAGTATCTCAGTAATAGAAGGTTCAAGAATGCTGATCACCAAGCGGTGGTTAACTCCAACTCTAGCCGTTTGTCAATAGCCACGTTTCAGAACCCAGCACCAAATGCAACTGTGTACCCTTTGAAGGTTAGAGAGGGAGAGAAACCTGTGCTGGAGGAACCAATCACTTTTGCTGAAATGTACAGAAGGAAAATGAGCAAGGACATTGAGATTGCAAGGATGAAGAAGCTGGCTAATGAAAAGCAATTGCAAGAACTTGAGAAGGCAAAACTGGAGTCCAAGGCTTTGAATGAGATTCTTGCTTAGACTTCAGTGATACTATCAGTGCCCTCTTGGTGTTAATTTTTGCATTTTTGAAGGGCCACGAATCTCTCTTAGTTTATATAGCTCTGTGCTTGTCTTGTGTCGTTGAATAATGTTCAATTTGTCCATGTCTGTGGAGACCATATATATCATATAAAAGGAAATAAGTTGCAACTCCTTTATTGGCTGCATGATCTACCATTTCCATTTCGGTCCGGTCATGTGCTGATGTGAGAGGATTTTAATTTGCACCTAAGTGTTGTTGATACTGGACATTATTAATTCAATTTTACGTATTATCTTTTAAATTTTCTATAAAAACAATGTCATGCGTAAAAACATTTGCTGTAGTTTAATTTGATATATAAACGACACAAAAATGAATATGAAAGGGTTTTTCATTCCTTGTTGACAAAAAGATGCCTTGCAATTAAGGAACTCTGTGTAGGTTATAAAAAATAGTTGGTGTGGTGTGGGACTTTACAATTTTATTAATTTTTTATGAAAATTGTACTCAAAATATTTTTACTAATAAAAAAAAATACGTAACAAGTTAAAAAAATATATTATTATATATAATTTATTTAAAATTATATTATTTATTACATGATTTTATTATTATCATTATTATATATATATATATTAAATTTTTTATTATTTTTTTATAAAATTTTAGTTTTAAATAAAATATAATTTATATTTAAGTAATTTCTATTTATTATAAATAAAAATTATAACATAATATATTGATATAATAATTATATAATTCAATATTAATAATAATAAAATTAAAAATATAAAAATATAATTTATTATTTTTTAAAAAATTTTAATTCATTTAATTTTGCTTGCATCTTATTCTTGATCTTTAGTGTTTTTAAATGTAACAAATATAATAATTTATTATTAAATAAATTTATTATTTAAATAAATGTATAAATATTTTTAGTTTCAAATATAATATAATTTCTATTTATTATAAATAAAATAATTATAACATAATATATTAATATAATAATTAAATATTAATAATAATATAATTAAGAATATAAAAATATATTAATATATTATTATTATTTTTTTTAAATTTTGATTGCTTTGGTTTTATTCAAAGACTTAACTATTATTTAATTTATTTAAATGTAGTAAATATAATAATTTATTATTAAATAAATTTATTATTTAAACATATGTTTAAATGTTATTAATTATAATTGTTTATGTATGGTATCCTGAAAATTTTTAAAGATACCGTAAAATTTACCAAAATAGTTACACGATATTATTTTAAATGTTATTTAAATTGGATCAAAAACTAAAAAAGGTTAGAAATATAAATTACAAAACGATGAATGGATAATTTAGAAATAAAAAATTTTAAAATTAGAAAATAGAAATTCAATTTTAATTGAAGTATTTTTTTTAATTCAGTTTTAAAAATAAATTTAGTTCAAATTAAACTATATACATAAATGAATGAAACTATCAGATTATTTATCTTACTATTCATATTTTATAAATAGATATTATATTATTGCTCTCATAATTTTCTTTTATAAGTTATTTTTTTAACATTATTTATAAATTTACTATTCCCAGAAAAATGTTAGATTTCAGCTAATGTTTGCTTATTTTACTTAAATTAATAAAAGATAATAACATAATAACAATATCGAGAGTCTTAACTCTTAAGTCAAATAGAATTGCAAATTTTATTAATCATAATAATCGTTGAGGTTAAATTCATCATATGCTAATACGTTGAAGTCACTAGTTCCACCATTAGCAAAGCCTACAAAAAGAAAATTATTTTAATCCTAATATCAGCAGTTACGTAATTTTAATTTATACTTCACCTTCACCTAATTAAAAAATTAAAAAAAAATAATTCAAACTACAATATAATACTTTAGAAAATGAAATATATGAAACGTTAACCATCTTTATTACTTAATGATTCTTCAAATCATAATACTTCTTGTCACTTCTTTAGCAAGTTATTATAAATAATTTTTTATATTAATACCTTCTAACTTTGCTATCATCCCCATTTCGTACATAAAATATTTTGAAGAAGCGTATTTTGACTATTAAACACTTCTTTAAAACCCCTATACAACAATAATTGCCATTGTAATTTATCTTACTAGACTCTTTTCCCACTATCACTAGAACAGGGGTCTACTAGCTTCCGAACCATGAAAAAAATCATCTCATTCGTTATCACACATAAATTTACTTCATTTTTAAAAGTTTCTTTTACTAAAATTGATTTTTTTTCAGAAAAATTTTATCGACCCAATTCACCTTTTCTTCAGTTGACATCATTTATCCAATACTAATGTATACCTAATAATTTTAGAGAATTTGTTAAGCATTGTAATAACTATAGCTGCAACGAAGAAAATTGGGAATGACGAATCAATAATTAAAAAATCGTATAAAACTTTAAAAATTATCTGCTTAATCAAATCTAAATTTGGGAGTTTAATTATGCATGGTAAAAGTATTAACACTCCATAATATCCATAAAAATAATTATTCTAAATTGTATAAAAATTAAAGTTTTATTTCATTCATAAATTTGATATTTTATTTATTTTTTAAATAATAAAAATTAAATTTTAAAATAATTGGACTTAACTGGTTTTATCCCGCTTTCATGTATTTCTCATTTTAATGGAGAAATTAGGGTTATGTAATTTTGAAAAGAAATTTTTTTAAAAGGTATAAAATTAAAAATAAAAATTTTATTAAAAATTTACAAAATTAAAAGTACACCTTTTGAAGATGTTAAAATGATTAAGAGAAATATGCATTTTTTTTTTTAGTTTTATCTGAAAATAAGATTGAAAAATCTAAAATATTATAAAAGAGAGATGATTTTCAATTAAAATTGTTGCAGAATATAAATATGTTGACAATCTTTCGTTCTTAAATTTTGTCTCAAACAAAGTGGCAATTAATCTCCACATATTGATTCTTTCGTCGAATTATTTTACAAGAGTAATTATGTTATTTTACAAATTAGTTTTTATTGATAATTCTTTCATCGGATTACTTTGTTTATATTGTATTTAACATTAAACTAATTTTTAAAAAATATTTATTGATTAAGAACTGATTAAAAATAAAACTATACAATTAAACATAACTTTTGCTTTAATTTCTGAAGTTATTTTAATTAAATTATAAATTATGATGATAACTAATATTCAAGTTAAACAAACTGTGTATTTAATACTTTATCCATCCATTTTACTTACATACAGATTAACTAATATGGTTAACATCTATATTTGTATTATTTTTAAAAATATTTTAAACATGCCCATTTACTTATGAAATATAATTATAATTCGTGCATTAAATTATTCAAAACGTGTGGGATTATAAATACTTGAACACAGATAAAAAAAAGTGCCTTATAATAATGTACAAGTCTCTTTTAAACATTACAAATTTTAATAATTTATTACTTGATTATATAATATAAGTTTCCATATAATTAAAAAATAAAAAATGAATAAAGATAAAATATAATTAAACAAGAACATCGAATATTATTTTAAACTTTTAAAATGATATGTAAATAAAAAAAAAAAAACCCACTTGGAAGTCAATTAAAAGACACAACATGATATAAAATTTTAGGAATTAACTACTGCTACAATTTTTACTAAAATAAAAAAAAAAGCTTCTGTAAATTCTTTTCTGCAATTTTTAGGAAACCTGTTTCCAACTTGCGAGAAGGGGTTTAACCATCGTCTCTTCTGCAAAACGGAACAAAAACACCGCAGAACCAATGGAATGTGTGTGACAGTGTATGAGAGAGAGAATGAAGATAGTGAGTTACAACGTGAACGGCATGAGACCGCGCATAGCGCAGTTTGGGTCTCTCCGGAATCTGCTGAACTCATTCGACGCAGACATCATTTGCTTTCAGGTGCTTCCAATTCCATTTCTTCAACATTTGGTTTCTTTATCATCACCCTATTCACTATTCACATCTTCACAGGAGACTAAACTAAGGAGGCAGGAAGTCACAGCCGATTTGGTGATGGCCGATGGATACGAATCATTCTTTTCCTGCACCCGCACCTCCGAGAAGGGCCGAACCGGTTATTCCGGTAACCTCTTCTTTCACTTTCATTCTAAACCAAATCAGTTGATTAAGTAACAAAATTCAGATGAATTTATGTAAAGTAATTTTATTGCTGTGGGGATTCTTTTTCGTTAGATATTAAAGGCCAACTGTGGTGTGTTAGCAACACGTTAAAGGAAGAGCAAGAGGGTTATGAGTCTAATTGCCATGGTTTTCTTAAGACAAAAAATTACTCAAACTTAAACTCACTCTCTCCTGCATTATTGGATCCGGCCCCCACTCAATTCCAATGTTTTAAATGGGTCTTAAAGGAAAATTTTCTTTATTATAATTTATGGATTAATGCCCACCGGAGAGGGTGTTCCTTTGTGGCAGTTGAAAATCTAGTTTAATGTTGCCAAGAGGAGTTGTCAAGATGAACGAAACTCTTGCTTAATTATGCTTATGACCTTGACAACTCTAAATCGTAATTCTTTGGTGGTAAATTGGGTTGAGTGTGCAGGTGTTATTACATTTTGTCGTGTAAAGTCTGCATTTTCAAGTAATGAAGTGGCCTTGCCCCTGGCGGCAGAGGAAGGCTTCACTGGTCTTATGGGAAACTCTCAAACTAGCAAAGACGAATTGTCATTCTTGGTGGAAGATCTTGAGGAATTTTCAAAAGATGAGCTTTTAAGTGTTGATTGTGAGGGACGATGCATTATCACAGATCACAGTCACTTTGGTGAGTATTCTCTGTGTGTGCCTACTATCAACATATATCTAGTTAAAGGAAAATTTTTGAAAGATGGCTCCCTTGATTACCTTTTTCCGATGTGTGATGCAATATAAAAGTTCATGAATGTGACTAGAAAGAATGATATTTATATTTCTTAGGAATTAATCATTGTCCCTGGTTTTTCTTCTTTAAAAGAAATTTATATTTGTGTACTTGTGTTTAAATCTGTTCAGTTCTTTTCAATGTGTATGGGCCTCGAGCTGGAAGTGATGACATGGAAAGGATTCAGTTTAAGCAAAAATTTTACAGGATATTACAGGTATTTGAAATGTTTCTATGGTAATGGAATCAATGAATGATATGACCAAATACATAAGTCATTGCGTTGCAAAATTATGTTTGTCCATCAGATTATGTTTATGGTTTAAGATACTCTAAAGCTAGTTTTTCAAAATTAGTATCATTACTATTTCTTTTGTGTTACCTGTAAATAGTATGACTCAATGAATACTAAACTGTCAAAAAACGGAAACTCTACTTTTTAAATTTATGGTCAGTATTCACCTTTGGTGGCTCTGTTTTCTTTTGTTTTCTGTTTGATTGATGTTGATAATCTCTTTAATAGAAAAGATTGGAGTCTCTCCTGCATCAGGGAAGGAAAATATTTGTTGTTGGTGATCTCAATATTGCACCATTTGCAATTGATCGATGTGATGCAGGACCTGATTTTGATAATAACGAGTAAGCTGATTCCCAGAATTCATTGACGTATTTTTAATGTCTAATATGCTGATATTATCTCAACACTTTGCCTGAATTCATATGTAGGTTTAGAAGATGGTTCAAATCAATGTTAATTGAAAATGGAGGCCAATTTTCTGATGTGTTCAGAGCAAAACATCCTGATAGGTATGGGTGTTTGAGTTACCTGTTTTGTTACATATCAAATATTGATGTGCACCCCGTGATATTGATACCTATTGAACATTGCCTCATTTGAAAATGGAGGATGTTTTAATTCTATCTATAGAAAGAGATAGAGGGAGAGAGAGAGCTTGAATTGGATACTCTACTATGTGTAGAGACCCTACCTAATACACACACGAATAGAGATGTACATAAGCATTAATGGGCTAGGTCCATTACGACTACTCATAACAATATATAACCTAATCCTAATACAATTACTCATAACATTCAATTTGTAAAATCTTTCAGTCTTGCCATCTTTTCTTTTCATGTGTATATATGGGTATAATATATTAATATCTTTTATCTTTATATGGGATTATATTGATTTCAAATTGAAGTCACTCTTAATGATGGGAAAAGAGCGAATGAAAATATAGAAGGATTATAAACTCAAACAGATTAAGTAAATTTTGCATATTATCACATAATTCAAGTTGGAGAAATAAAAGAATCCCTTAAGAGGATTAGTATTCTTATTGAAGTTTGGAAATGTATGAGAGAACAAGGAATTTGTTAACTTTCTACACTCTTTAATGAGATTTTGAGATCTAAGAATATGCTAGATGAGTAGAGAAAAACTACTTAGATTCGTCTATACTATAATAGGATGATATGTGAAATTGTGCAAATTATAGAGGGATAAAAAATTTTAGTTAACACTGAAATTATGGGAAAAGGTGATTGAACACATACTAAGAGAAGAAACTAAGATTGAAGATAATTAATTTAGTTTTATGTTAGAAAAGTTGACAATAGAAGCTATATACCTTTAACGAAAGTTGATAAAAAAAATACCAGTACAAAGAGAAACATTTTCATGATTTTTATTGATTTAGAAAATATATATGACTGTGAATCAAGAAAAGTATTGTAAAATACTTTAGAAAAAAAGGAGTTTGTGTAACATATATTCGTACTATATAAGACATCTATAATGGGTTAAGTGGTTAACTACACATGTGAAAACTCCTAAAGTTGTATTTAAGAACTTCCTTATAGGAATAAGTTTACATTAGAGTTCTGTTTTGAGTCATTAATTGTTTAAGCTAGTCTTAGATGTGCTTACTAATGATATACAAAAAATTATCCTCAAGTGTATGTTCTTTGCAGATGACATTTATGATTGAAGAAAAAAACAATGATTATGTAATGGAAGTTAAAATTCAAAATAGTGTAGTATTTAAGTTTAGCTATTTGGGATCGATTCTAAGGAATTATGGATAAATTAATGCAGGTATTATTCATATAATACAAGTTAGGTGGTTAAAATGGAAAAAGACATTAAGAGTTATTTGTGATAGTAAAATACTTATCAAATTAAAAGAAAAATTCTATCACACTATTAATGACCAACTATCTTATATGGTAGTGAATATTGACCTTTAAAGAAATAATATGAGAAAAAAATAGGAGTTACAAAAATAAGGATACAAAGATGGATTAATGGTCTCACGAAAATGGACAAGATAAGAAATAATAATCTACGAGGAATATTATAGTAGTTCTTATTATGGAAGAGTTGACAAAATCACTTTAAATGATTTGAACATGTTCAAAGAAGGAAATTAGAATCACTAATAAGAAGAGTGGATGGGATGATGTTTAGTTCAATGAAAAGGGGTAGAAGAAGACCTAATATAATTTTAGAAAAAATTATTAAAAGAAATCTATTGTAAATAATATTTCAGACAAAATTTAGTTTTTCACTGTATTCAATGACGTTGTATAATCTATGTAATGGACTTTACCTAGTGGGATAAGGCTTGATTATTGTTGGATTATAAAAATGGATTGCTTGAAAATATTAAACTATGTTTCAACTTTAATTCTTATTTTTAGTCTCTGTGACACATTTTTCTAGGCATGCAGTTGTTATTTGGCTAGTCATTGCCCCATCTCTGTATTTTCCCTTTTTCCTGCATCTTCCTTTCAAATTATACTGTGTGTTTTTCATATTTGTGGTTACATCTTCAATATGATGAGTATTAATCTTATTTAGTCATATTGTACATATTGAGATTTTATGCAGAAGAGAAGCATACACCTGTTGGCCACAAAATACAGGTGCTGAAGTATTTAACTTTGGGAGTAGGATTGACCATATTCTGTGTGCTGGTTCATGCTTACATGAATCAGATGACCTGCAATGCCATAGTTTTATAAGATGCCATGTTAAGGAATGTGACATTATGACACAGTACAAACGGTGTAAATCAGAAAGCATACTGAGGTAAGATGCAAGCATTGCTCGTGGAATATATTGCTAATTTGTCTTTGAACCTAGATGGTTGTTTTATTTTTTATCTTTTTGGATGTTAACGTTAGGTGCTGGGTGATACCATAACATGCCTTATGTATTGAATAATATCATTTTACATGACACATTTATACATAATACCACTAGGAATAATATCATATTTATACCTTTTTTTTTTCACTCCTAGTGGTTCTTCACCAGTACTATATCAAATGGTTCAAGATTTGCAAACATATGTTCTGCATGACAGCCTGGGGGCTAGGATAGTAGTTTTAACAGTCTTTTGTGATTTGCTCAGTGCCCATAGATGGAAGGAGGGAGGACGTAGCATTAAACTGGAAGGATCCGATCATGCTCCAGTTTATATGACTTTACATGAAATTCCTGAGGTCCCTCAGCATAGTACTCCTTCCTTGTCTGCTAGATATGTTCCCATGGTTCATGGCATACAGCAAACTCTAGGTACAAAACATCGTTTCTGCTTTGGATGAGAATTACTGTCCATACTCAATATGATGTTAATGCATATTGTTTCTGAACCTCCTCTTGCAGTGTCAGTGTTGATGAAAAGGCAAGCTTCTGAACGAATGAAGTCATGCAAAATAATACATGAAGGCATTGCAATTGGTAGTACTTGTGGGAGTGAAACAGCAGTTAACAAAGCTGGTTCTGCCACAAGACTAAATGAGTGTCATTTTCCTCCAAGCCAGGATTATGAAGGTGGCATTTTGGAGGCAAATGAACTTTCTGGAGGTTCATCTCAGGAGGCTGTTTCTAAATCAGGAAGTGAATATGAAAAATCAATAACTAGGAAATGTAATAAATCCAAGAAAAAAGCAAGAAATAGTCACTCATCCCAACTCTCACTTTGGTCATTTTTTCAGAAAAGTACACATCTTGACAATGGTGTCAATGACCCATGTACTGATTACTCAAATAATCAGGCAGAACCCTCTCAACCCAATCCTCATTTGCACAAAACTTCTACAGTTTTTGATCATAATAGCAGTCCAAAGCAATATGAGTTGGATAGTGATGCATGTCATCAGGATTTAGCTGAACCAAATGGTAGCTCCACAAAGGAAGAAAAGAGTAATGTGGCTTCACTAGAGTGGCAACGGATACAAAAATTGATGCAGAACAGTATACCTGTTTGCAAGGGCCATAAAGAACCTTGTATTGCCCGGGTGGTAAAGAAACAAGGATCTAATTTTGGACGCAGATTCTATGTTTGTGCTCGTGCTGAGGTAATCTGTTTCTATTTAATGGTTTTAGGCACTATGCTTCTAAGTTCTAACCCATTTAAAGGCTATACTTAATTCATTTTGCAAGGATTAACAAAGATATTGTTTAAAGCAATTAATCACTGAAGTTTATATGTTTGGTGGGTGGGGGCAGGTGGGAGGATACATAATTAAGAACAGTAGTTCACTATGCTTGAATCAGTGAAATATAGAGTTGAGATCAATTATTTTTTCAAATATTTAGAAGGATACATTGTTCTAATAGAAACTATCGGAACTAAGTAGCCATAATCACAAAGCTAAAAGGGTTTGAAGTACAGGTATATATTATATTTTTATATAGAGTTAGCATCCATTGACAATATTATAAAGAGTATAAAATCTTACCATATTCCTTAAAAAATAAATTTTATCAATAAAGTTCTGAAAATTTAAAGTACCAATTTTCTGTCATTTCTCCATCCCTTTAAAGATTAGCAGTGTTAACTTCTAAATCAGTCAATGATCCAATTTTCGCAGTTATCCCTATTTTCCCATCAACATGCCACATTTTCCGAGAATAAGCTAAATTTTGTACCACAAATCCTCATCCTTGGATACTGCATACTGAAAACTACGTTGCTTTTCCTCCCAAATTCTTTCTGTCTTTTTGATGAAGAAACTCATTAGGGATTTGAATATAATCTGAATTTGAAAGGAAAGATAGATTATTAGTTTAGTGATCAGAAGCACTTGAATCGAAATTTCAAGATCAAAATAGAAGTAGACAAATTGTTGAATTACAAGAATGAGGTATGCTAAAAGAGAGAAAAGTGAGAGAACATGTAGATATTGATAGGAATTGTGCCCCATCCTCTAGATGGAGAAAGGTCTACCAGCGTAGATCCAAGACTATTAGGCCTTAATGTGTGAGGGGGGAATTATTTTGTAATAGAATCAGGAGTTAGGGGCACATGGGAAAATTTGTAATAAGTTAGTTAGTGAGGATGGGAAGGAATGGGCAAGCTAATTCTGTTATATTGAGTGCTACTTGTATGGAGAGGGGTATCCTAGGATTTGAATTGATATTTTGGGGCAGAGAGATTCTCTCTTGCTGGGGGAGCATAGCTCTCAGAATTCCTTCATTGTTTACCCCTTTCTATTCTTTCTTCTTGGTATATTCTTGCTCTGCAGGTCCCTTTGATACTATATGTATCAATCACCTTGAAAATTTCTTTGGGAGATTCTGCCTGAGAGAAACCAAGAAAAGACAGAATAGTGTAGCAACCAAATAAACCAGGGCAGCAGCCAAATAAGAGGAGCATACAAACCAAAAAACTAAGGGACAAGAACCAAACAAGATGTCACTGTGGAAAAGAAGTCCAATACTCTAAGTGAGTTTGATCACACCTACTAGATCAGATGGTCTTACTCTCCTTTTTATTAAAATTTGAATGCACCATTGAGTCTGTATTGAGTGTATAGAGTATCCATAAGGTTGAGGATTGTGACAATGTACAGGATAATGATGCTAGACATATCCATTTATCACTTTCAATGTCAACTTTGATGATGCTCTGGAAAAGGAATTTGATGGAGTGGATACTATAACTGGATCAATTGAAAGAAAACCCCTGACAAAGGAAAAGAAAGTGTTGAGTGCTCAAGGGGAAGAAGATCCATGGAATGACAGAGAATGTGGCTGGCTAGTTTGTAATGCAAAGGATTGTAGTAATTGTGATGCTAAGAATCCCTTCAATTCAATTCCAACTGGATCAACATGCTTTGGTTTATTGTCTTTGAAAACATGGCTCACTGCAAAGGATGAGGGAGGCTCATGGGTTTTGCTAGTGTGTTTTGTTGAAGTCCCACATTGACTTTAGATATGGCTAAATAAGAGCGTACAAAAGTTAAAGCAATTCTCACTTTATGAAGCTTTTGAGGTTGAGTTAGGCTTAAAGCCGAACATCAACATGATACTTAAAGCCTATTGTAGATCCAATATTGGGTCACCCTTGACTGAAAAAAAAATTAGTCCCACAACTTTTTTCAGTGCAATTAACCTACCCTTGCGGATTTTCTCAATGCAACATACCTGGTCATGTAGCTTTCTTAGTGTTTTTCCACACTTTAGATGTTCAATCTTGAGCATGAGGGGGTGTATTGAAGTCTTAGATTCAATGTTGTCAAGATTGGGATGTTACCTAGAATTGAAAGGGGGGTCAAAAATTGTAAATCGTGGGATTGTAAAATAGATTGTAAGATCCTACTAAACATATCAAGCTATACTTAAATATATATATAAGCATAAAAAATAACATACATAAGGAAATTAACATCTAAATCACATAATTTAATTAAACATAACTTAATAGTCATAGATTTTAGATCCAATACAACACATAATTAATCAAACTAGTAATAATCATTACAATAAATTTTGCAAGTCCTAATCAGGATAATCATTTTCCAAATAGTCATCTTTATCAATATCATCCACATTAGAGTCTAATATACCTTTTTTTAACACCATTGAATTTTACTGAAATCTTCTCTTTTGGTTCAATCCATTTCCTAATAAATGAAACCCATGACTGACTTGTCCTCTAAATCTACCTTACGCAACACTCTAATTAAGGGATAAGCACCATTTAAACAATTCACGATATCTTTCCAAAACTCTTTATTTATAACTAGATTTTCAATAACTATTTCGTCTTTAGTTTTGGCAAACTTATTATCCTTCCATTCTTTGGATGTAAACATTCTCAATAATAATTCTTTATTATCATTCAAGCATTCCAAAGTCAAGTAAGAAGTTGCAAAACATTTAGTTGCAGGTCTAATTAAATTTGTACCTTAAGTAAGGTAATGCAACAAAGATATAAAGCCAATTTTAGAATAGTTGTAAATTGTAAATTTTTTTCCTGTTTGCAATAGTTTCTTTATATAATGGAATCTTCTTTTCAAAATTCTCCAACATAAAATCAATACAATGTGCAGCACAAGGTGTCCCATGAAGCTTTTTCCTCTTCTCATCAACATTTCTCTTTGTTGCCTTATAATTTGCAGCATTATCTATCACAATTTGTACCACATTTGCTTCTCCAACATCTTCAACATCATCTATTATCTTAAAAATTTTGTTTGCTATTTTTCATATGTCAAATGCATCAATAGACTTCAAAAACATAGTTCCTGTAGGACTATTTACCAAAAAATTAAGTATAGTCCTCCTTTTGTCGATCTATCCATCAATCATTATGGTGCATTTTTTTTTTCATGTAGCTTTGTGCTCTTCTAAAATGATATTTGTCTTACTAACTTTTTGGTTCAAATATTTTACTCGAATTTCATGGTAGGACGGTGGCTTAAATCTAATTCCATGTAAAGCAATCTTCTCACACATCTTTTTAAATTCTTCACTCTTTACAAAATTCAAAGATATTGCATTATTGTAAAAAAATGAAGCAATTTCTGAACATACATCCTCTCTCAAACCTTGCTTAAAAATTAAATTGATTGTAGCTTGAGTGATCACTCCTTTTTCCTTGAGAAGAGTTGCTGGACTTTCAACATCACCTTGTATTTTTCTTTTGTTCTCATTTTCAAATTTACCAACATCACTTATTCCCTTTCCTTCAAGCTCTTGTTGTGTGTTTGTTTTTTTATGAATTTTCCTTACAATTTAACAATGTCCCGCATTTGTCTTTGAACATCATCAGAGACAGCCATGTAAGCTCCAATACTTTGCTTTGTTCTTGACAAATGATGTTTGAAACAATAAATTCCTCCAGTATATTCATTCTCACAATATTTACATTTAATTTTTCTAGTATTTTTAAAAACAGAAACACTACGATTCTACGCTACATCATTTCTTTTTCCAGCAGTATTGTTTGATTTTGATCTCAAAGTTCTACTTCTACCAACAATTTCACTTCCTGCAACTCTACTTGATTGAATCCATAGTAGTTAATCCCTGATAGTGGCGCGGAGCGGCCAACCTCAAAAACACTATAGCGGGAATAGCGGTAGCAAGATGACCGCTATTATGAAGTTTTCATACACACATACATGCTGAAAAATATAAAACTAATATGCAAATGTGGAACAAAACCAAAAAAGGAAGAAAATAAATAACAAAAAGCAAAAGGTGCAGGAGCAGCCATTACTTCTACTTGAAGCTTTGAAATTTGAAAAAAGAACAAAGTAGGGGAATCAAAATAGAGAAGGAAATAAATAACAAAAAGCAAAGGGTGTAGGAGCAACCCTTACTTCTACTTGAAGCTTTGAAATTTGAAACAAAACAAAGTAGGAGAATCAAAACAGAGAAGGAAATAAAAGACCAGAAAAGAAAAATAGAAAAAAAAAGTTCAGTCATCGAAAAATGTGCAGTTTGTCAGAGATGGAGAAGACCTGAAAGTGTTTGGGTGATGTTGGAAGCTTCGCTGACCTTGAACACGACGACAAGAGATAAAGAAAATGACTCAAAATAATTTGGGTCACATTATAGGCTTCACCGGAGACGATGAAGATGGCCAGAAAACCTCCCTTTCTTGTTAGAAGCCTCGGCAGAGATGAAGACCACACTCCAGCGATGGAAACAGAGAGAAAAGAGATGAAATGAGAAATGAGAGAAGAGCTAAGAGGAGAGCTGAGGGAGAGAGTTGAAAGGTGAGTTGAGGGGCTAGGGTTTGCGAGAGGGAGGGAGAAGATTCAGAAAATAAAAGGGGGCCAAAATCCCAATATTGTCCCCCTAAAAAGCCCCCAAAGTTAAAAAAATAGAAGGCAGATTCAGAATTTTTAGGGAGAACAGCATAGGGGCCGCTACAGCGGCGATTTTTGGCCTCTATACGCGGTGTGACATCCGCGACACTGAACCGTGACGCTATATGGTCGCCATAGCGGAACTGTGCCGCTCCGCTCCGTTCTGCCACGATTGCGGCCGCTATTGATAACTATGATTGAATCCCCTTCCCTTTTCTATTGTCACCAACTTCATTTCTAATATTAGCCGCCACGCAGCAATGAAAGAACAAAAACATAGGAAAAATGAAGAACTGAGACCCACCTATGTAGAACCACCTACACTCACACAGAACTGTGGAGCAGGGTAGTGAACCAGAACAGTAAACTGGAACAACAAACACCCACCAATACAAAACCAATGGGAAGAAGAAAGGAAAGAACAGCGGAAACCCACACTGTAGAAGTCGTAGAATCAAAACCCAAATCCACAAACAGCCTTCGTCGCACGGTTCAAAACAGAGAGATGAGAGAATGAGTGTTGTTGCTTGAGAGAGAACTCTAAAATGGGGTAAAAAATGCTCTAGAAATGTTTTTAAAAATTGGGTTGCAAAAACCCGCGCACCAAGATCGGATCGGATCATTGATCCTATGATCCTAAGGAGAAAGATCGGGATCTTTCCCACTCTTGCTGTTTTCTGCCTAGTTCCGATCAAGATTGCAGAGCAGGGTACATATCGTACGATCTTGCGATTAAAATTGTGATTTTAACAACATTGCTCACATTGATTATACGGCTATATAATAGCTTATAGAGGTTAAAGTAATCCTCACCTTACAAGTTAGTTTTTGTTATTGAATTAGGCTGAAAGCTCAAATTCAACAGGTTTGAGTTAAGAGAGAAGGATGGAAGTGGAAGGGACAAAAGAAAAGTAGAGATAACTGTGTAAATTGGCTGCTTAGCTGAGTTAGCAGTTAACACTGTTAATCCTTGGACAGAAGAAAGAATAAATTTAGAATTTTAACTTTTAGGGAGTAGATTGATTTTAAGGACCAAAATAAGGTTTTACTCTTGTATGAAGTAGAACACTTGCACCATATGTTTAGAAGAAAAGTAATAGGCGTCACTTATTTGAAGAGAAGGATTGGATTTCAATTAGCTATGTTTGAGCTTCTCATGTGTTTTCCATAAGTTATATTGTAGCCACAACTGCTGATAGGTTAGATAATCTTCTGTTTTACACCTTGTCCTGTTTTGGTCTCTCATTTCATAATTTGTGCATCACCACCCATGTAGTTTAGGTGGTGAATGTTAACTTGTTTTTCTACTTACAGGGTCCTGCATCTAATCCCGAAGCAAATTGTGGTTACTTTAAGTGGGCTACTTCCAAGTCTATGAATAAATAATGGGAGCAAATGCCATTTCAATCAAAGGATGATTCATTTGCCAGCCTCATCCTAGTACCTTTGATGATGAATATGGAGCTGAAATATCAGTTTTGCATGATTATGAAAATTACTAACTTCTTTGAAGGAGCTGCCTCTCATAATCATTTGTCCACACCCTTATTACAAACATCCTCATAGCTTCCTGCTACCATTGTGAATTTTGTTTTTCAGTTATAATCAGCTGTTGCCACCATGTAAGTAAAATAGTAGTAGGCATGTTTCTCCATAGAGGAGACTAATTAAAGGATAGACTTAAACTAATTGGATAAAAAACTTGTTCTGTTGTCAATGCTCCATCTCAGCATATAACCTGGCTGGACCGTACCACGCTCTAACACCAAATTGAGGCGACCTGCATTTATTTAATGGACTTTTTGCTTAACACCATCTTGGGTTTGAAATTTGCTCCATCATGTGTGGGCTCTAGTTAATGTGTGCTTAAGCTCCCCAATCCCCGCATTTTCTTTTGGCTAAAAGCTTCAATACCTTTAAGGGGCAAATGATCAATTGAAGTGGCAGGATTTGTTAATTATACGTGCCTGCATGATTATTCATAGGTGGTAAAGTCCACATGGAGTAGCCAGTCACATTACCGTGAAGCACTGAGATTTAATTTTGGTTTTGCTGCTACTAATATTGAGGTATACTTTGAGCTTGGTGTCTTTAGCGTGATTTTCTGTTAGGACCAATTTGATTGACTGATAGAAAAGCACATTGTTGAGAAGAATAGCATATTTAGGTACTTTATGTAGATATTCAATTTTATGATCTTTTATAGTTTTATCTGATTTTGTATATATAACTATCTAATATCAATAATTGGATAAATTTTGGTTTAGAGTACCTGTATTTTTCATTGGAAGCAATTATATATAAGCTAAGTAAATTTCCTATGGGTGGCAACTTTTTTTCAGTATTTAACACAATTATGTTTTCTGAAACTCAAACAATTAGATAATAATTTAATATAATGTCATATTCAAATTTTTAATAACATAATAAAAATTAGCATTGTTTATTTAATAATTCAGTGTACAATGTCATATTCAAAATTTTAATAACATTATAAAAATTAACATTGTTTATTTGATAATGATTGCAGTGTTTTATTGAGCAATTTTTTTTACTTCTATATGTTTATAAATCGTTGAGTATGATGTTGGTAATGATGAATAAATTGATAGCTTTTAAAATAAAAGAGAAAATTATAAAGGACAAAATTAAAAAATAATTGAAAAAGAAATAGTTAAGCTTGTTTTCGAGGATATTAGATTTTTATTAATATAAAAGAATATTTATATATATAGTGGATACCATATTTGAATAATAGGCGTGAACTTGATCACAAGTAAACTTGGTACTTTAAAACAATGTTACATATTTATGCCAATACAAATTCTTACATCTATAAACTTTGCTAAGCTGGTTTATGATAAAATTCCTAGCACTCTACATTATGGTACAAAGTCAAGAATTCGACAGGCGAAGTATCAAATTTCTTGCCCATGTTCTTTTAAAAAAAAAAAATTAATTCCGAAATATGCTGAACAGTTAAATAACACCAATTCAATAGTGATTAGTCACAGTAGAAGTGACTTACAACTTAGATGAATTTCATCTATAATGTTAGAGATTTACCATTTTAAAAGGATTTTACCTTACTATCACTCCTAACTTTGAGGATTAATGCAGTTTGATTCCAATCTATTTTCTCTATTGTATCCTCTTTTTTGATCCAGTTCTAACAGATTTCCGGTGTAAAAAAATGTTTAAGACTCATGATTAGATAAGATATCACGTTCAAAGCTATAAAAAAAATTACATCACCACAATATGTTATGAATGTGTGTACAAAGATGGTTAAGACTCATAATTGATTAGATTAATTGAGCTGGACCAAACAGTAACTGAATAAATTGCCATTGAAGATAGATATTATAATTATAAACGACTAACATATCTATATCTATAAATATAATTATCTATTTATCTATTTATTAATTTTATAAATATAAGTCTTTTTCTTCACTTTCCTTGTTTGTCCCTTGAGAGTTATTTTCTTTCCCAATTTCATTACAACTTTTTTTACACGGATCCAGTCCTAAGCTCAAGCAAAACCACCTGTGTTACAAGTTTGTTCTCTCTGGGAATCAATTGCTCTCCATTATTCTCGAGTTTTGACTTCCCCTTGCTCATACTTTTTTCAACAATAAGGTCAACAGCTGAGTCTGAGAATCATAATAGTGAAAACAAATTCAAGATGCATTACGGGGTGTCAAATCCTGTCGGATGAACTGATTCATTAACTTGAAATGATATTGAATTTCAACATTTTCAATTAACATGGCTAGAACAAAACGTAATAAAGGAAAAGAACTAAGAAATACTTAAATTTTCATGATTGTATAAAGGTATGGCGAAGACATACTTCTTCACAGCTGAATTTCCCACAAGACATTGAGAGATGTTTTACATTTGACTAAGACCTGCTTTTCCTTTGATGGAGATGAAGCAGCGATTACTCTCAAAATGACAGGAGAAGCCAATGTAGGAACCTAGGTAGAATATGAGGATTGAGGAACTTAGTATATGCAAATTGTTCAAATTCATGTAACACAATGTTTTGAAATACAGAGGTCCATGATTTAAACTCACTATTTCACCTAATTAATGGCCAACAGCCCTGTGCTTCCTCTGCTCAGCAAGTAATTACCATTGTAAACAATTATTCATTTAGCAAAAAACCTGAAACCCTGAGAAGTAATATTTGTTGGAACAAGAGCAAAAACTTAAATACACTCACGAAATGCAATAACAGAGAGAGGAAAAGTGAGAGAGCATGTATTCTGTATATTTCATCTTTTACGAAATGTTGGTATTTATAGCATACCAGAAACAACTAAAACAAACTGATAGTTAGGAATGATAAAATGTTGAATTGACTTATTCAACTAATTCTATCTATTGGTTAGAATTACTTCTAACACCTCCTCTTGATTCAAACCAATTACAAACTAACAACATTCAAAAAATTCTCTTAACTCTTTGAACTTTTCACTCTTCAAAGACGGTCATAATGTCATTAAGTTGTTTCTCAGTTCTACAATGCTGTAGTCTGGTCTTTCCCTTACTTACTTGATCTCTGAGGAAATGGAATTTGGTGTCTATGTGCTTGCTCCTACCGTGTGACACAGGATTCTTAGCCAAATCAATTGCTGATTTGCTATCTACCAACAAATCCATTGTCTCACTAGTAAACACCTTCAATTCTTTGAGTAAAGAGGATAACCACAAAGCTTGACAGGCAGCTGCAATGTATTCAGCCTCACAAGTAGACAACGCTACTACTGTTTTCTTTTTAGAATTCCAGGATATAGGAGATCTTGACAACAGGAACACTTGCCCTATGGTACTCCTTCTGTCAACCAGATCACCACACCAGTCAGAATCAGAATAGGCTACAAGGTGTAGACTATCATCTCCCTTAGTGTGATGAGGAAACAAAATGCCATATCCAAGTGTTCCGCTAAGATACCTCATGATTCTTTTAGCTGCAGTCAAGTGTGATTGTCTAGGATCACTCATGAACCTGGTGACCAAACCAACACTAAAGGTTCTGGCCTGCTGTGACAAATAAATCTCAGGCTGCCAACAATCTGCCTGAAGATAGTTTCATCAATAGAGTCCTCATCTTCACTCGTCACAAGTTTCACATTTAATTCAGCTGGAGTCTCTACTGGTTTACAAACCATCATTTTAAATTTCTTCAAGACTTCAGAAATATACTTTCTTTGATGCATGAGAATGCCTCTCTTAGTGTAGGAGAACTCCATTCCCAGAAAATAAGATAGAATACCTAGATCGGTCATCTCAAATTCACTCTTCAATCCTTGCTTGAGTGATTCAATGATAGTCAAACTATTATCAGTGTTAAGTAAATCGTCAACATACAAGCATAACATCAAAATCTCAGTTTCACCTACTATTTTGATATACACACCATGCTCGACTGAGCATTTCTGAAAACCAAAACCAGTGAGAAAAGAATCAATTCTTTTGTTCCATGCCCTAGGTGCTTGTTTTAAGCCATACAGGGCTTTCTTCAGTCTCAAAACCTTCTATTCTTTACCTTTACATATGAAGCCAGGAGGTTGTACCACAAATACTTCTTCATCAAGTGGCCCATTTAGAAAGGCTGACTTGACATCTAGTTGCCACAGTTTTCAATTTCTCCAACTAGCTAGTGAAACAATCAATCTTACAGTCTCCAATCTTGCTACTGGAGCAAATAGTTCAGTATAGTCTAAGCCTTCCTTCTGCATGAATCCTTTAGCCACCAACCTGGCTTTATGTTTGGCAATCATTCCATCAGGCTTGAGTTTAGTTTTAAAAACCCATTTAACAACAATAGGCTTTTTGTTCTGAGGTAAATTTACCATTTCCCATGTATCAGTTTTTTCAATGCTTTTCAATTCTTCCTCCATTGCTGATCTCTATACTTCCTTAGAGACAACTTCCTCAAAGGTAGTAGGTTCCATGTTTGCCATAAGTGCCATATGCTGAACCAAATCATCATCATCAGTAATTACACTATCAGAGTAAATCTGATAATCTCTGAGTCTGAAGGGAAAACTTCTGGCTCTTGTAAATCTATCAATTTTCACCAGAGGTTTATTATTAATCACTTCTGGATGTATTTCTCTCACTAGATCATCATTCCATCAAGCTGAATCTTCTGTATTGTCTCAGAAGTAGACTGAAATTCTCCCTATGAGCTTAATTCATCAAAGTAAACATTTCTACTGAACAGAACTTGTTGAATCTTTGGATTATATAGCTTGTATGAACCAATAGAACTGTATCCAACAAAAATCATTGGCTCACTCTTGTCATCCAACTTCTTTCTCCTCTGATCAAGAACATGCCTATAACATAAAGATCCAAAAATTCTGAAATGTTTGACTGAATGTTTGCTTCCTGACCAAGCTTCTTCTGGAACCATAGAGTCAAGCCTCTTGGTTGGACACCTATTCAGAATATATACAGTTGTCATAGCTGTTTCACCCCAGAAACTGTGAGGAAGATTCTTCTCTTTAAGTATGCTTCTAACCATGTTCAAGATTGTCCTATTCCTTCTTTCTGCAATGTCATTGCGTTGGGGAGTGTATGGAGCAGTTACCTTATGAACTATACCATGTTCTTTACACAGATCTTCAAGTTCTCCAGATGTGAATTCACCTCCGCCATCTGTTTTCAGAATTTTAATGTACTTTCCAAATTGCTTTTCAACAAAAACTTTGAAATCTTTAAAAATATTGAACACTTCACTCTTGACTTTAATTAGGTA